CGATGTCCAGCCTTGAAGCCTCCGTGGGTGGTGCATTTGAAAATAAATCAATCTTGAGTCTCGGCTGACCACCCTGCTTATGGACATACTGTATCGGGATGAATTCGGCCTTCCCTTTTCCTTTGTTTTTAGGGAGATGAGCATTCACCATTCCAATTGTCGTCGAGGGAAAGGGATTGACATCAACCGCTATCTGTTTCTCAGGAAATTTTAACTTGCCTTTCTCAATCCAACTTTGAATCGCATCACGGAACACGACGCAATTATTGGTAGCATGCTTGTTTGAATTATGGTACTTGTAATATGTTTTGCCTTTCAATTCCTCGGCCTTAGGAATGTTGTGTCCTGGTCGAAGTTTTATGATCTTTGTTACCAACAACTGGTCGAAAATTGCATTGGCCTTGGTGATATCGAAAGTATAAACTTTTGATGTTTTAATCATCTATTCAGAGGCTGAGTGGGTTTTGGCATCTTTGGGACTGATTTGAGCTAATGCCTTGCAAATGTATGGTTTATTTATCACTATTTGAGCTGCGTCCACGCTGGCGCATTGGGAATCCTCGCTTTCGGCCAATGCATAGCTGACCGTGGGATTCTTGTATATCGTTCCTCGGGATGAAGAATTTGATATTTTTTCCTCTCAAAGTAAATAATCATACTGCTCAATGTGCTAAGCAAGTTCTTATATATCTCGGATATTTGCCCCAGGAATTTCTGTTGTATTCTACGTCCAGGCCGTTTAGAGCAATTCTGATGAATTCAACTTCAGGGAGAGGTACTTGGCACCAATTCCTAGCCGACTTGAACCTTGTTAAGTATTCCATTGGTGATTCGTCTGAAGCTTGAGCCATCCTAGCCAACGATGAAACAAACATTTCCATCCCTAATCGATAAAATTGTTCATGGAATTTCTTGACTAATTCCTCCTAACTCTAGACGGATTCGGTGGGAGGTTAATATACTAAGCAAATGCTGAACCTGTTAGTGAGAAGTTGAAAAATTGTAGTTTATGGAAGTCGTTATTAACATCCCCACATTGTGCAGTGAACCGGGCTACATGTTATAACGAAGATAAGGACGATTCTCCGGTGAAAAAACTGAAGTCCGGGACCTTGAAGCCTTTAGGATATTCGAACTTTTCTACATAAGCCGGGTACAGATGGATGAACTTTGTGAACTTTGGCCCTTTTTTTGAAGGCCAAATTGATCATCATTTGGACCTCGGTCATATTGACGGATGCTGCTTCTTCTCCTTGGTCAGGTCCATCAGATCTACTGCTTGATCCGCCTTTTTTTCCAAGTCAATTGGTTGGAGCCGTGCAGATCCTTTCTCGGCTTGCAATGAAACATTCTTAAGGGGAATCTGTCGAAGTTGGCCGACATAGCCATCTTCGAAGGCTGTACTGACCAGTAGTTTAAGCAACCTGGTCTGTGAATCACGATTGCTTTAAGCAAATTATTCATTTTCTGGCCAATTGACTGCTCGACCTGCCAAGACTGCTTATCTAGTCATCTTCGACGAAACGACCTAGTTGGCGGATCAGAACCTTCCGCACCATCTTTGTCGCAATCTTCCATTATTCATTCGACAAAAATGCCTACCATTTGGTTGGGAATTTCTGGGTTGCGAGGCTGTCCGCCGAGACAAATTTCTTTCTCTCGATGTGTCGCACTTGTAGCCTCAGGTGGCATAACAATGAAGGGATTTTGTACCTAAGACAAATCTTGTCCAGGGCCTTGTACTAGTAAGTCAATTGTTGACTTTCCAATGATTGTTTTCTTCTTTACTGATCGTGTCTCAATGGTTATGAACTCCGAAGGTCTAGCACAAGGTCCCATTGGACGTGCCAAAATGTTGACCCTAAAAATTACAAAACCTACATGGTGCGCATGCCGAGTAATTAATAAGCTAACTACGTCATTCAATTGAATACAGGATGTGGCAACTCGTCGGCCGATCTCGACGGAGGAGTAAAATTTGTTGATGTTGCATTGAGCGCATTGTTAACTTCTTTATCCTGCGGCTGCGGCCGAGGAAAGAACAAATCTCGGCCTTTGGATTCTCAAACCTGAAGACAAGGTTGCTAGTTCTGCGAAGTTCACAAATTGTTTGCGCCGGATTCGGTCACAATGATTATATACGTGAGAGTATAAGCACATCGAATTGACACTAGACTGTACGGACACAAGTATTCAAAGGTGATGTATGTCTTGATGGTAAATGTGGTTTGACCGTCAGAATGCCGAACTCTGAAACTCACTTATGATTATCTAATCATAAAATTACTCGGCGTTCAATGCGTCGAATGTCGTAACTCGTAACACCTTACTTCGTCGAGAAGACTAATAAGATGACCTCTGTTAATAAGGATTCGGAAACCCTTCTCGACCGAGACTTGGATAGGTAACCAGTCGGCCTTGACGTAGTGCTGTTTATCCAAACTGAAGGTGCTCCTCGGTCGGCTGATTCTACAGCAGCAGTGCTTTTTATCCAAACTGAAGATGTTCGCCGATTGCCTTCACAATGCTATTTATCCAAATTGAAGATGTGTCGGTGGAAAAAGAAAATAAAAAAATCTGAAGTTGTTTGAGAGGTTTACGTAGGGCAATTGTATGTTGAATTGGAGATCCCTGAATTGCACCCTCCTTTCTTTATTTATAGCAACAAGAACAAATCCTAACCATACTTGAACTAGGACTCCTTACCCCAGTCCATCTTATCTCGGCCAATCCCACTTCTATTAGGATTTTGAATTCAACCTCTTACTAGGCCATATTCAGTTCTACTTTTTGGTATCCTTATCTGGTCGAGAATCCTTACTGCATCAGGACTTAACCACTTCATTCATTTGCTTCGCAGTAGAACCCACCTACTTCCTATTCATCTAGAATATTCTTTTCCAAACAGGGCTTGGCCGACTTTTAGTTCGGCGGCCCATGAACCGGCTGGTTTGTAGAAATCCTCGAACAGAGCTTCTGGGCCTAGAACAATTCCATACTCGGCCCAACCCAATAATTTTAGGGCCAAACAGAACTTCTTAAAATTCCCTTGGCTTGAACCTTCACTAGAGTGCTTCCTTTTTTTGTTATTATTTGACCCACCCTCCATAATGTGTGCCTTGTCTTGCATAAGTTGACTGTTAGACTTCTTTTCAGAGTAACGATTATCCTCCTCAATCCTTAATCTTACGATTAAACCCTCAAGTCCCATCTCTTTGCACTTATGCTTAAGATAATTTTTGAAATCTTTCCAAGCAGGAGGTAATTTTTCAATTACTGCAGCAACTTGAAAGGTCTCACTTAGCGACATCCCTTCAGCATGTATTTCATGAAGAATAAGTTGTAGCTCTTGGACTTGATTAATAACCTTCTTGGAGTCTGTCATCTTGTAGTCAAGAAATCGACTGACCACGAATTTTTCATGCCAACATTTTCAGTCTTATATTTCTTGTCAAGAGAGTCCCATAAGGCTTCTGCATTTTTAATTGGACTATACACATTGTATTGCATTGAGGATATAATTCTTGCATAGAAAATCAGAATGGTTCCATGCATCTACTGCAGCCACTTCTTCTGCGGTAGTTCCACACATAGGTGCATTTTAGTCAGAAACTTTGCCAAGTTCAGAGTGGTGAGGTAAAATAACATTTTCTGTTGCCACCTCTTGAAGTTTGTCCCATTGAACTTCTCAGGCTTCTCACCATGATTGGTGGAAGATGGGATCACCACGGGAACTACACTCGCAACTAACGTGCTGCCCAGTTTACTAGAAGAATTACTAGTATCATCCATTTTCCCTTAAAAGAGAAAATTACACAATTCAATATATTATAAGTAAAGTAAAAAAAACAACAAAGTATTTAGGAAACAAACATACGTTAATTTCTTAATACTATAACCCACTGTCAAATAAACAGTTCATGAACATAACCTTAACGCTCTGGCTTCACAAAATTAAAATTTAATGCAAGGCAAAGATGTAACCAACTAATCAAGAATATAATAATTATTTTTGCAGTAAATAAAACAAAACCACCGCTTCATATGCACGATTAGATACCGACCATTCTCCCATAAAGTTAATCACAACCAAGTATTACTAGCGTGATAATTTAATTCTCATACAAACATAGTAATCAGTCCAAGAACTTGTCTTAAGTTGTTGGGAAAAGCTATGGAAAAACTGCTATATGTTTTATTATAAACTATTAAATAACACACAATAGAATCTCTATAAATGCAAGAAGAACAATGTATAGAAGAACTTTAAGAGATCGATGCTAGAATTTGATTCTATAGCCTTAAAACAAGATTACCCTTCAGTGGTGCCTCAAGGTTTGCGTTGGCAAATGTCTCCCAGGATACATTGATCTTTCTCTTTGCAGAAGTAGCACTCCAATCTACAAAGAACAGCGAACCAAAAGTGTGTAAAACTCTCTTTATCAGACACTGAACTACTTTAATTTCTAATTGATTTCTAGATGCAAAACTATATCTAAAATACTTGATTTGGTGGTCTATTTATAGGCCTTGACATGCCCCATTTTCAAAGGTTGTGTCTGCTTCCAAAAGACAAAGGATGCAATCTTTGTTCAACAGTCATATCCCAACCTTGTGGAAAAGTTGGAGGAAACCGTTTCGGTTTCCGAGTGATTCGAACAAAATTAGGCGTCTGATAGTTAGTATTAGTGCCCACATGTATCAGTGCCTTTTTAACCAATGTGTCTTTCGAAATTCTTGTTTGAATTCAAACAAGAACCAGTCAAACCCATGTCCACTTTCATACCAAGATAAAACTAAAAAGAACTATTGCAGACTGCTAATATATAGCCAATTCAAGACTAGCCCATTTTTTCTAGTTCAATTTCCATTCACTTAAATATTTAATATTAATAATACTAATATTTAAATTATTAAATTTCTAACATCGCACGCTCGGAATCATATAAAACGCGGGGTTTGGAGTCGTTGGGGACTCTCTTGAGAGACTCGGCCATGCAAAAGCTTTAGAAAATTATAGCTGTCACTGTGACCCAATAAAGAAAGACCACCGTTCTTTTATTTCCCAAAAAGCGAATTCATAAATTCATACATTTTCATCACATGAAACCATTCAAGAAGCTGACATCCGTCGTCGGTCGTCTTGTAACTTTTTGGCTTTCTGATACAGACGACTAAAGGTCATCAATTTTTGAGTTCGATTGATATCTGGTTGGATCATCGTATCATTATTACCGGCGCAAGATGAAGTTGTCGCCGTGGCTGGGTGGGGGAACAAGGAGGTTTCACGTGAAGGTGAGCCAATTGAAGCTGCAAGGGTTTAATTTTGAGAAGGAGAAAGATAGAGTTGGTGTGATTGAGGTGAAATGGAAAGGGTATAAGCCTGGAGGGCCTGGAGTTTTGGTTCCATTCTACGGAAGAAGTTCGTCGAGGCATCTGAGAAACTACACCAGCCATAGATTTTTGAGTCGTCAAGTCATTGAATGGGATGACGAATTTCAGAACCTCTGTAATTTTGGGTTGAAGCATGGTGGTAACTTTAGTCCTTGGGATTTGACTTTTACCCTGTTACACGTAAGTTTCTAATCTTTTTATTTTTAAGCATTAATGGGTTTGTGTTTGTTTACTCTGTATGTGGTTCTGCTTCTGTTTGTTAAATATTTGAAATTGATTATTCTTTTGCGTTTATGAATTTCAGGGAGAGAGTACAGAACAGAAGAGTAATATGGCGGTTTTCGGGACGGTTTCGTTGAATCTGGCAGAATTGGCATCGACAATGGAGTCTCAGATTCGGAGGAAGCTCTCTGTTACTTTGAAAATGGAGGGGACGACCGCCTGCGAAGCTACCCTTTTGGTAAATTAACTTCATTTTTTCTATTTTTTTTAATTTTTTTTTAATTTCTGGTAATTAAGTTAATTAATTGCAAATTTACAGACAAGATTAATCCGGTTTTCCGTTATTTAGTCATGTATAATTTTACCTAAACAAAGTTACATTTCTTAATTGTGAAATCTATGCTTAATTAGCTGTTTTAAATCCCATTTAAGGCAAAGCCAGTTTATTAGATTATCTGTTCTTAATTGGGTAATATTAATGACCAGAATTGTTTTCCGCTCGACTTTTTTTCATTCATCTATTCGTTTCATTATTAGTAACACCACTACATATTAATCACGTATGACTAATTATTTCATAAATGTGAAGAACTATACTAATAAATAAGTACATGTGTTATAATTTTAATTCATTGATAATCTCACGTAGCAAATGTAACAACGGAAAGTTTCTCTGACGTACCAAGTGACTCATAGTTCATACATTTTGATAAATCTTTAGTAATTAAATTAATAATCCAGTCATTTTATTTCTTTGTAAGCTTATGGACTTTGAATGTTTGATGGTGCCCGCAGGTTTGTCTAAGCTTTGCTGAGGTCAGAAACTCGCATGGCTCGGTAGGACTCGGTCAAGACTTGGCCGAGTCAGACAAGGGGAAGTTGACTCGAAGGGTAAGCTACTTCAGGAGCTTTAGAAAGTCAAGCAATGAGAGGAAGAGTCGTGGGGACCGAGTCACGAGTGACTGGCACGAGTCATTCTTGCCTGACTCAGAAGGGTCCCCGGGGAACGGACTCATATCCAGTGATGTCAATGCAGACTTGAATTCAAGGGGTGAGTCGGGATCGTTCCCGAGTCACGAGACTCAGTTTGACTCGAGGGAGAAGAGCTGGTTCTTGAGGAAGAGGAAGTGGTTGAATGGTAGACCGCCTAGGAGAAAAGTGGAGCCCTTTGTCGAGAAGACCAGTAGGGCTGTTGACAATATTCTCACCGATTCTGTAAAGGTATTATATGTTACATTTGTGAAGTGTTGCTATTTGAATTGCATTTAGTAGGAGAAAAACTTACGTGTAACGGGTTTAATACAACTTTGTATCTACATTGACTTACCGAGAGGATATTAAACATGTTGCATGTGGGTTTTGCTGTCAGTCATTGCTATAGTTTAAATAGTTTTAGGGTTTGTTTGAGACTCTTTGTAGTAAGCACTTTTGCTAGAATAGTGAAACTTTTATTTTAAGACGAGACACTTCCTAAAAAAGCACCTGGAGATGCTTTCCTAGAAAGTGCTTGTTTGACCTAGAAGCGCTTTAAAGTTTTTCTACCTTACATAGATAGAAGCGCTTTTGGCTTTCAGAAAACAATCTTCGCCTTTTTAGCTTTGCTATAGATCAATGCTACTTATCAAAAAGATAAAATGATGCTCCAAATGTTAGCTCATCTGCCTTTTCTTTTTCTTCAGGAATCAAATAGTACTGCTGAATATTCTTCACAATCAGATCATGTACTTGGAAATTGCACCACAAGTAGATGGGAAGAAAAGGAAGTAGAAAGCAGAGATGGGCAAGCAAAGCTCACGACCAATGTGTTCTTTGCCTCCTTTGATCAACGGAGTGAAAAGGCCGCCGGAGAGAGTGCCTGCACAGCGCTAGTTGCGGTTATTGCGCACTGGCTGCATTTGCATCAACACTTGATGCCTACAAGATCCAAATTCGACAGCCTCATCACACAAGGTTCCTCAGAGTGGCAAAAACTCTGCAGCAACGAGACCTACATAAACTTATTTCCCAACAAACACTTCGACCTTGAAACAGTTTTGGAAGCTGATCTTAGACCTCTCGATGTCTCGCCTGAGAAATCCTTTATCGGATTCTTCAGCCCCGAGAAGTTCGAGAGCTTGAAGGGACTCATGTCGTTTGATGACATATGGAATGAAATAAATAAAAACACAAAGTCTTACGAACCGAGGATATACATAGTAAGTTGGAACGACCACTTTTTCGTTCTGAAGATTGAAGCCGATGCATACTATATCATTGACTCTTTGGGTGAGAGGCTCTTTGAGGGGTGTAACCAGGCATACATACTAAAATTCGACGATTCGAGCATCATGCATGGGAAAACAAAGAAAGTAGAGGATGATTCAGAGGAAAGATTAGAAGTAATATGCAGTGGAAAAGAGTGCTGTAGACAGTTCATTAAAAGATTTCTTGCGGCAATACCACTTAAGGAGCTTGAGGAGGAAGAGAAAAAGAGTGCAGCTTCTATTTTACCTCTACACCGGCATTTGCAGATCGAGTTCCACTACACCTCCTCCTCCTCCTCGTCATCTTCATCATCGTCATCATCGTTGTCCACCTCCGCCTCCTCTTTGTCGACATCTTCGACTTCTTCCACTTACTCTCTTCTCAGGTGAAGAGTGACTAGAAATCAAGTAGCTGAATTGTACAGAAGGGTTTGATTCCTTCACATTTTCTGACATATTGAAACTAGGTAGAAAGTTCAATGAGATGTAACCGAAAAAAAAAATTCAGTGAGATTCCAATTCTGAAGATTCCAATTTGTGGTATAACCTCGAGAACAACTAACATACAACTAGAACGCTAAAGTAACAATACTCTAAACCAATCATACAATATCATATAAAGTTAAAACACATAGCGGAGCGTGATAAGCTTGAGATGCTGTCACCTACGTCCCAGCTTCTAGTTAGAGGAATACGTTGAAACAAAGAAAGATCAGCGTTTGTTTTGACCCAACCAAAATGACTCAAGGGGGAACACAAAAGATGGGCTCTTTACAAAGATTAGTCACCACTAGTGCAAAGTTGCAATTGAAACAAAGATCCCCATCCAGTCATTTTCTGTGATAATTATTTTCCCTTTACTAAAAAAGAAAATAAGGGTCCACAGCCACAGCCACAGCCACAATAGCATAATAACTTGAGATAATGGATGTTTAAAGAGACAAACTTCTTTGTCCCCCACTCACCCTCACCCTCACCCTCACCCTCACAAAAAAAAATCCCCATCAATTTTGTTTTGCTTACCCAAACAAAAAAATCCCCATCAATTTTTTTTTGCTTACCCAAAATTTTCCTAATAGGCCTAATCAGAGGTTGGTCCATAACCTTATCTGTGATGACTAATACTAATTAATCAACGATTATTATTTTAAACAGAAAAGTTTAGGTTTGAGTCGTGTGTGTCCTCCCTTTTCAAATAGATCCCATTTCTGATCTCCAAATCTCCAAACACAATCCAAACTAGGAATACTTTCCCGCACCGGTTGCATGAAACATGGAACGGGTATCTCATATTTGCTACATCAAGTGAGCTGCACATGACTATAAATGTGAGACAATCATTTCATAACAACCGGTGCAAGAAAGTTTTTCTACCAGAATAGTCCTATGAATTAACAAATCAGAATCTTCATGAAGTTTATTTAATTAACACTTCACACCATAACTACTTAAAGTTCTATGTTCTAGAAAGCATCATGCATAACGTAGCACTATTTGTACGTAGCAGATTAGAAGTCCATTCGCTCATCTAATCTATGCTTTAATTCACAATTTACATTTCATCGCTTAAAACACTACGAGAGCAGCTAAGTTCATTACCATGTAATCTAGCTAGGAAGTACATCGAGATTGCAAAAAGAAGCTTTTGGCAAAACATTCGCTAAGCCAGTGTCAAAATAATGAAAAACCAACTTTACTAAAGCAACAGTTAGTCTACAAACCTCCATTCCTCATGCTTCCATTCAAGTGGCTGAAAGGAAGCTCCGGCTGCCTACAATATTTAGAATCCTCTGTTGGGTGATGAAAAGCTGCCTTCCGCTTTCTTGTTGCTGCTTGCGTCGATGCAAATTTTTGCCGTCTTTAACTTTGACGAAAAAGCACCTGCAAAACAATCAACACCTTTGATCAAGGACCTAAGCCTCACGCACCCACAAGGTGTTTTTTGGGGTGGGGGGGGGGGTGGAGAGGGGGTTATGGAGAAATATTCTCAAGATATTAAATAGGAAATAATATCTTGGGATAATGGAGTAATTATCCCTAATTGATTTAAATTGGGATTACTTACTTGATTGGAGTCAATCTTCAATTGGGAATGTATTAAAGATAGAATTTGGGTAATTAATCCTTATCTATAATACTTTGACTTTTCCTTATCAATGGCAGGTGAGCTGTGGGCAGTCATATTTACCTGTTGAGACCTTCAGGGGTGTAAGATGCACGTGGGAGTATCTGAGGAGCCTGCCCATTTATTGAGGGCAATCTTGTCTTTCTTGAGCAAAGGTTCACGTGTCGCCTTTAGAATTTTTGGGATTATTTTAGGCTTCACAAATGCCCCTACACCTGCTGGGTTGCATGTAGGAAAAAGGCAGTAGGTGTAGGAATCCCAAGTTGCAAAGGCTTGTAGAGTTGTTTCCCAATTTGAACTTGATCTCCTTTCTTGATTTGGAGATAGACTTCTTCTAGGAAAAGGAAACCAATTGCCCCCAATACCTATTTAATTTTGCCTTAGGCAGGGGATTAAATAAATTTGGAGAGCAATCATCATTCCAACAAGGAAGAGAGAAACCAGAGAAAAATTTTCCCCTCCCCTAGCTTTCTTCTTCTCTTGCCCTTGCAAAGAGTCATATTTCATTGTTGTTGTTCTTCTTCGTGCCGCACCAAGGTAAGAAAAATTTGAATTTTCTTCTTCTTGATTTTTTGGGAGTCTTGGGACTTGAAAAATTGGCTCAATAGGGGCCGAGGATGTGTGAAACACGTGGCAAGGGTGCCAAAGGGCTGGTGGTGGTGCATCACGGGGGTTGGTTGGCCTGGGCTAGGTGTTCGGCTTGGTTCGGCAGAGGTGACATGCGCGCTAGGCGCAAAGATGCCAGTTTGTGTTGAGCCTCCATGGCTATTGGGCATGGGCCTATGCAGGCGAAAGGAGAGAGTGTGGGAGAGACCGGCGTAGGCTAGTTCTCGGGTCCTAGTGCCTTGGGCCTTGTTGGAGCCCGCTAGGAGCGAAAGAGGAGAGAGGAAGGAGACATGGGCCTCTTCTTTTTGTTGGGCTGAGCGGTGCGGGCCGCATGCATAGATGACCAAAGGCCTTTGGGCCATGTTGCACGAGACAGGGAGAGCCGGGTCTGGGCCGTAGAGCCTGCCTTGCTACTGGGCTCCTGCGGTTTAGGCCCATGCTAAAAGAGAGAGAGAGAGAGAGTGAGGGTGAGTTGGGTTGTCTGGCTTGGCGCTAGGGTGCTGGGCTCTGTGGTCATTTTTTTTATTCTCTTCTCGCGAGCTGCCTTCTAAATATTTTTTTTGTACTTTTTGCATAAATTTTGAGATGTCTTCCTCTGATCGCAAAAGTGACAAATACTGTCCACCTTTGTACTGTCAATGTGGTTCTTACAACAAGATGGCCCTCGTCAAGGCTGCACATGTCAAGATCAATTTCTATGAACTGTTTTGGGATTTTCTTTAGACACACAAGTATACGATTCTGTCAGGAGTTCACGTCAAGCGGGTGAAGGATGATAGTGGCAATGAATTTTGTGGCGAGGGTGCCACTGCTAGAAAGAGGGCTATCAAATTCCATCCGTATTACTTTGTGTTGGGATTTACTTTTTCCATGTGGCATTTTTTTCAGGAGGTGATCTGCTCTATGAAATGCGTGCCTGCTCAGTGCTCCTCGAATGCAGTTCATGTGATGGTGGGGTTCTCAAACTTGAGCAAGTGCTTTGATCTTGGTTTAACCATAAATAAGTTATGGTACTTATTTGAAATTGGCCATAAGGAAGGTGTGGGGCAACTGAGGTCACACCATAAGTTGCTTGATGATTCCTGCAAAGATGATCATGAATGGGCAAGAGACACCTTGGAGGTTAGTGGAGAGTTGGAGTCTGACTCTTCTCCTACGCTGCATGTTCCAACTGTCTTTATCAGTGGTATGTGAACTGCTTTATTCCTAGCTTGCTTGAATTTTTGTTGAGTTGCTCCATGACTTCAGTTTACTGATCGTCCTTCTTACTTTGTGTAGATTTAGAATTTGGCTCAACTCTAAGAACTTCGGCGGATATGAAGAAAGGGCACTTCGTCTTGGGCATTCTTGTTGTGTACTGTGAGTGGTGTTGGCTGCTCAGTTATCTTCGTTGGGAGAAAGACGGGCTGCCTCCGAAGGAAAAGATGAAACAGATAAAGGATAAGGTGCTTACTCGTCCGATAGTTGCTGTAGAGCCTACTGCTAATGAGGGTGGAAAGAAGAGATCTTCCTCACCTGCTTGTGAGCCTTTGGTTGAGAAGAAACTAAGGACCTTTTCTGCTGTTTCCAAGGGCTTGTCTATTGCTGAGAAGCTTGCCATCAATTTGACTATTCCCAAGGGGACTAAAAAAACCATTAAGTCAAAGCCACCTACTGCTCCAAAGGTAGCCACGACCATTGCTGAGAGGATTGCTCAGCGGAAACGTTCGGTGATGCCCCTGGTGTTTAGGTTTGTGTCGAAGTGCTCATAGGGAGCTAAGCTCGGTTCAGCTTCTGAGAGGCTCGCCGTTATGAAGATCGGGATGGTAGATTCTGCTGCCAAGGTAGTGCCTGGGCCTATTCCTCATTCTGTTGCAACTGATTCGTTTATTGAGAAAGGGAAATCTACTCACACGGGCAGTTGTGAGAGATCCACTGAGTTTGAGGCTAGAGAGTTTCCTGAGGTTTGTGCACTGCTAAAGGCTGACCTACTTGAGGACGTTGATTCATGTGCCAAGTTTGTTGATGGTGTTGGGAAAGTTGTCATTTGCTCAGACTCTTTTGCGAAGCGTCCTGCCTACTCAAGGAGGTTCTCCCTGATTGTTATAATGCATAAGACTTTGATCTTGGCAGTTGAGTTTATGTGCATTGATCACGATGCTATCAAGTGTACTAAGGAGGCTAAAGTGGTGCTGACGGCTGAGCTTCGCTTAACTGTTGAAAAGATCGAGAGGCTTGAATCTAAACTTGCCGTTTTGAAGGGGTCTGATATTGTTGCCCCTACTTCTGTGCAGTTGGAGACCGCTCATCAAGAAGTCGTCCACTTGAAGGCTAAGCTTAGTACGACTCAGGCGATGTTGGAAGCTGAAGAGAAGGAAGTTAGTTGTGTTTCATGAGTGGTTAAGGACCTTGAGCCTGTCAATTCGGATCTACGATTTGTTTATTTTTCCAAGGATGATGAACTTGTCTTCATGCATACTGAAGTGTCTCGTCTTAAGCATTTATATGGCGTATTGCGAAAATTTTAACTTATAGAGTTGGCAGTCGGACACGTGATTCTCATAGAAAGCAGAAAAGCTGCATAACTGTTATATTCGTACATTTTGACTTTAGCGGCTTTATGAGCCTTGGCCCTTCCGGGGTGTGTTGCAAAATTTTTTAACTTATAGAACTTGCGGTCGGACACGTGTTTCTCGTAGAAAGCAGAGGAAATCCACGTAGCTGGTATAGTCGTACATTTTAGCTTTAGCGACTGCACAAGCC